ATAGCAACCTCTGCAAATGTGACCTTAAATCAGCTGATATCAGGATGGATACTTGAGAAGAGAGAATTGTACATATCAACGGATTTTATAGACAGACATCTCTAGTACAGTGGATAAGCGATATTGACTATGGTCAAATAGATACGAGCGAAGAAAAACTGCGACACCAACCATCCAGCCACAGTTATCAGCCTTCATGTGAAGCAGATGTGTCATGAGTTGCTGTTCCACGTTTAAGTGAGTCAAAAATGAAACAATTATTGGTTTTAGACGCTAATAAAAAAAAGAACAATTATTGACTTTAGATGCTAAGAAATGTCCAGCTAGTTAAAGATTTGATAGAATAAACGAAGTTATTTATTAACCTTAACTATAACTGATACAATGCCATACGACATACCATATACCAATTGATAAGTTTGTTAATGATCGCGATAAGGTGGACGTTCTAGAGTAAATTTGTTAAAATGACAAATGGTATTAATGTTTCAGCTATGGAAGAAATGTATCAGGTCATTCCATAAGTTCTGTCCGAATTTTAACTTTTTGTTAAAATGAACGAAATTTAAAGAGTATTTTATTATGTCTAATGGAGCTGAACATTATTTTTATGTTTAGATGCATTTAAACTGATCAAATTTTATTTCAGACAACAATAAAATTAAATTTTGTTTGATTAAAACCCTGCTAACATGGAAGTACCCAAGAATCATTTGAGGCACATAATGCTTTATGAGTTCAAAAAAGGAAACTCAGCAGCCGAAGCGGCTAGAAACATTCACTCAGTTTATGGAGAGGAATGTGTGAATGAAAGAACTTGCAGAAGATGGTTTGCAAAATTCAGAGGTGGAGATTTCACCCTTGAAGATGAAGATCGAACCGGACGTCTAGTTGAGTTTGATGAAAAGCTTCTTGAAGCAGCCCTTGAAGAAAATCCTGCTTTATCAGTTGAGGAATTGGCAGTGGTTCTCAGTTCAAACCATACAACTGTTCATCGTCATCTTCAACAACTTGGAAAAGTTCCTAAACTTGGAAAATGGGTGCCTCATGAATTGTCTGAAAACAACCTCAAATCCCGAGTTGACATCTGATCTTCTCTCCATTCTCGCCAACTTGTTTCACCTTTTTTGGATAGACTTGTGACTGGCGACGAAAAATGGATCTTTTATCGAAATGTTAAGCGTCGTAGACAGTGGCTTGGTAAAGGGGAAGGACTCCAGCCAGTGCTGAGAAGGGAACTTCATGGGCAAAAGGTTCTTCTTTCAATCTGGTGGGATCGCTAAGGAATAATCCACTTTGAATTCTTACCACCTAATGCAACAATTAATGCTCAAATATACTGTCAGCAATTAGAGCGTTTGAACCAAGCTTTGAGGAAAAAAGACCTGCTCTAGTGAATCGAAAAGAGGTGATGTTTCATCAGAACAATGCACGACCCCACACAAAAAGAATCACGTCACAAAAGATCGAAGAACTTGGTTGGGAGAAAATTCCTCATCCACCTTATTCTCCCGATCTTACTCTTTCAGACTACCATTTGTTTCGTAGCTTACAGAATCATTTGGAAGAAACAGCTTTTGTAACACAGGAAGAGGTTAAAACTGACATTTGTGAGTTCTTCGAATCAAAGCCAAAAGAATTTTACAGTAATGGAATTAGTAAGCTTGTTAATAGATGAAAGGAAGTCATAGATAATCAGGGAAAATACATTGTTGATTGAATCTGTAATTAAATGTAACATTTGGTCACTTGTTTTCTTTATTCAATATTCGAACAGAACTTATGGGATGACCTGATATATTCTTCCAGTTTGCATTTCCACTAATAGGGGCATTATTATATCAATTATATAATAACATAATAATGTGTGTACTATGGAAGAAATTAATTTTCTCCCAGTTTGCATTTCCTCCATTAAAGGCATTATTGGATCCATCATACAATAACACCTTATTTCAACGGAATAGCTGAAAGAAAAGGTATGATAGACATGCTTTGTTCTCAGAAAGGGTTTTATTCCGTTAAGTTACACACAAAATTATATACACCTATTTATATTTATCCTATACAGAGAAACTACAACATATGTCTATGCAACAAGCAGTGGGAAAAGGGTCGAAAAGATAGGGCATTTACTTATAATCGTGAATTGGAGCTGCCGGAGATTATTCTGTGTTTCTGGAGAAGCCATATTTAGGATTCCAGATTCGAGCCGACCAGATTTATCTGCTATTTCTTTGCATCGCCCGGGTAAAAAAAAAAAAAAAAAAAAAAAACTGATTGGTTTGACTCTTGGAAGATGAATGACTGACTCACGACTTTCGGCACTATATGACGGTCATGTGACCCAGTGATTTCATCTCAACCTAAGGGATCTCATCGCCTTTTGTGTTTATAGTGTGATATTAATGGAATGAGGAAACATAATCAATATGAAATCACGAATGAGAAGCGTTAAGATTAGGGTAGTTAATATAAGACGTGAGCACGCCTCACCATTTCTTTTCCTGGACAGCTGAATTGGACAGGAAATAGGACAATAACTATTCTTGTCCTATTTCTTATCCAATTAACGACACTGGAACAAGGAATACGATATTTACGCTCAGAATTACAAAAAAAAAAAGATCAATACAAATCCGATGGGGTATATAACTATGTTTTATAGATTAGCAAAATTGTTTGAAAAGGTACCGTTCATTCATGTTTGATTGTTTGTTCATTTTTACGGGTTATCACCCATTTCCAGATTATTTAAAGCCAGAAAATATTTTTAGATTTTAAGAATTTAAAAAAAAAATTAATTAGTTACTGATACAAGTCTTACTAATTAATCCATAGCTGGGGAGAGAGGTCGATTCAAATGTTATTCAAGGGTATTTGCGCGTAAGTGAATATAACAAACCCAACTGTAATTGAAACTCTGCATTACAATTAAAATTTCCCAGTCATTATCCATTTTATCAACGACACATCAAAAATTATAGTACCTGGTATTCCCAGTCAGCCACCCATCAATGTACAGCGCAGGGTGAACATTGCTTAACTTCATTTCAACATAATGTGGCAGTAAGATTCGATGTAGAGTTATAACTGACTTTTCTTGTACTTGATCCTTCCCATATATATATATATATATATATATACCGGGCGTAACAGTAAAATTGTCCAAATCGTGTAAAAGAAAAAAAAACTGTCCAATTGTTAAATTAAGCTCTGAACCGTTGCATCGTAGAAATGATTAATGATATCTTACTGGAATTCTGGAATTCTCCAAGGTTTTTATAACACTATTTGACTCTACTTTGAATAGTAAGGATGTATTACTCTCCAAGCTCAACAGAAGAACACTGATGAAATCGATCATAAACGAAAATGACATGTTCATCATTAATTAATCATAGCTAAGGATCGGAAGCTCATGGCGTATTGACATAAAGTTCACACACACACACACACACACACACACACACATATATATATATATATATATATATATATATATATATATATATACATATATTATTCCAGGATCATTTGCCAATTTATTCAAGATGATCTTCGCCCTCTCTAACCTTCTATGTTTCTGTCCTGGAGTAACTCGTTGCTTCACTGGTTTCACATACGATTTCATTTTCAAGTCTCTTTTCACTGCTCCATGGACTGTCATAGCTTAAATTCCTTTCTAATGCTAAATGTCTCATGGAATGAGTTGGATCTTTTCTAATTGACCTCTTTAGCTGTATGTTGAAATGATGATCCCTCTTCCTGTTGTGACCTCCTGATCCAGTTTTCGTCTCCAATGTTCCCTCTATTTAAACCTTATTCACCGTTCCCTTGATGGTTCTTGAATGGACTTTGAAGATGGAAAGCAGGGTATGAATGACGGTACCATTACTGGAGGCCTGAATGATCTTTTTCCTCTCACTAGTTTGGAAGACAGCGGATCTGCTCTGTTTTTAGGTGAATAACTCAAAGGGTTTTTCAGTGCCTATTACGACAAATCGTGTCAAGATAGCTAAACGTCTTATCTGAAATCCTGGGAAAAAAGAAACTCACTTAGTTTAGTGGATTTTTACATATTAAACATTTTGTGGGTTGGACAGTTATGCTGTTACACGATTTTGGACAATTTTGCAGTTACACCTGGTCTATATATATAAACACACACACACACACACACACACACACACACACATATATATATATATATATATATATATATAAAGAAATATAGTCTTAAGGTGTGCTATATTTATGGGATAAAGTGCTCAATATCAGAGATAGAGCGTGTGTAAATATAAAAGTGAACATAGAAGTCAACACTTAGTTCAGTCTGTTTCATGCTATATGCAATCGTCAGGCCTGACGATTGCATATAACATGAAACAGACTGTCGCCTCTAAGTGTTGACTTATGTTCACTGTATATATATATATATATATATATATATATATATATAAGATTATATTCGATAAAAAAACCTTGCTAGACTGAAGAAGTCTTTTCGAAGGACGAAGCGTTTAACGTATTATTTATTATTATTATTATTATTTATTCAATTATCTACGCTTAGTCTAATATATATATATGTATATAGCTGCAAGTAATCTGCAAAAAGAAAACAATAGAAGTAGGAAATCACTTATGTTAATTTGATTACTAAAATTATTGTCAGATAAAGAAATGTCTTTTTATTACATATATTATAATTCAAATACAGATGTAGATAATTTCTGATAGTACCTAATAATCTTACTGGCTGGACGCATGTAGATTCTATAGGTGTTGACGACTAAGATAGCCCATTGTGTCATGGCACTACTTTTCTCTCACGATTTGTCCCTATCTTTTCATTCTCTTTCTTAGTTTACTAGCTGGACTCACAGAAATTCAGTGGGTGTTGACCAATAACATCATCCATTGTATCAGGTTTCTGCTCTCCACTCAATATTTGCATGTATCTTCTCATTGTCTCCCTTATCTTATAGGCTGAACCCATGGAAATTCAATGCGTGTTGACCACTACAGTTATCCATTATTTCATCCCTCTACTCTTCTCTCACCATTTGCATGTATCTTCTCATTGTCTCCCTTATCCCTCCCAGTGTTCATCCCACGTTTTACTGTAAATATTCTACAAACATGGATTAGTTTCATCTGCAAAAGATGGAAAAATATATGCACAAATATATCTACATGAGCCTCTATTATATCGCAAATACAAATAAAGTTATAAATGTTTTAAAGTGCACACAAACTTTATGGACACTATATATATATATATATATATATATATATATATATATATATGAAGAAATATACTCTTAAGGTGTGCTATATTTATGGGATAAAGTGCTCAATATCAGAGCATGTGTAAATATAAAAGTGAACATTGAAGTCAACACTTAGAGACGACAGGCTGTTTCATGTTAGATGCAATCGTCAGGCCACGAGTGTTGTTGGTTTTCTCGGCTGTTTATATATACGGGTCAGTGGTGCATTGTGGGTAGTCTATTTTGGCGGTTATTTTGCCGGAAGCCGTTTATTTATTTGTATATTTGGGTTAAATTATTTTGCTTGTTTTTTATTTATTTTTATTTTTTATCTTATTTATTTTTATTTTAATCGGAGTTTTAATTACGTTGTAAAAAATTGTTTATATCGCTTATTTAATAGTTTTGGTTTGCTTTTGGGAAGATAATTAAAGATATTTATTCAATTTTGGGGTTGATTCCTGTAGTTTATTCTAACTATTATTTGGGCGGGAGCAGTTCTTAATTTGTTTATTACTTCATTTATTTATTTGGATTGATTATCTTGCTTTTTCTAACGGTTATATATATATATATATATATATATATATAGAGAGAGAGAGAGAGAGAGGGTGCATTGAGTAAACTGTCGCCATCTTTATATTTGATTTGGCGCATACGCATTATTTGTTTTTGATTTTGTCGACTGTTTAGTATATTAAGGTCATTTGGACACCGCCTGTGTGAAAAAAAAAACACCATGACGCAATTCATTGCACCAGAAATTTGGAAACGGTATGACGTACTGCTTGGAATTCGCGCCAGGAGCTCTAATTCGAACATTTCAGAGTCTTCGGGTGTTCATCTGAGGATAGTGTAGAGGATTTCGAAAGAGTTGCATGATTCTAATGGTGATTACGAAGGTACGGCATTTCGCGAAAATCTCTCTGATCGTTCTGACAAGAAAAGAACTCCCGAATTTGACGGTGGGGACCTTTGATTCGACATGGAGGCCTACATCATCAAATGCCTAGAGAAGGTAGTACTGTCCTGGTTCAAGAGGGTGGCTGCTAGAAGACTCTATGACTGGCAAAATGACTCTGCGCACAAGCAGTAGAACCCAGTCATGGATGACAGATAATTTCTGCGACCACATCACCCCTTACATCTGGCAACCTAACTCCCCAGACTGAAGACATCATACAACAAAATTTTGTCTAAAATAGATCCGAAAGATGTACTTTGTTTAATTTGACCCTAGTCATAATATATTTCTCCTACTTCCTCTTTCTACCTCTTTATCTTCTTCTCTCTTTTTTCTTCCCACTTTATCCACCCTCTCTCATATATATATATATATATATATATATATATATATATAATTATTTATTTAAAAATTATAACATACATATGTTATAAAATCACTACAAAAATAGCCATTTTGTTTCAACACCTATGGTGTTTTATCAAGTGATGATGTTAAATGTAGATTGTAGAATTCTACAATCTATATTCAACATCATCACTTGATTGTAGAATTTTATATTCGCTCTACTCTGTATTGAGCACTCTTTTAAGAATAGTAATAGTTGATTATTGGAATATATTCCGTATACACAATCATATACTTGTATATATATATATATATATATATATATATATATATATATATATATATATATATAATTATTTAGATGGAATCATTTTTAAATAAATAATTATATTTAGGGTCTACTTTTTTGTATCGAGCACTGTTTTTTTAAATAATAACAAAAATACTAAAGGACTTTTGGATTATTACCTAACGAGTTCTTTCCTATTTTCTATATATCCTTACACACACACACACACACACACACACACATATATATATATATATTTATATATATACACACACACACACACACATATATATATATATATGTATATATATATGAGAAGAGAGAGATAGAAATTATAATGAACCAAATTTTGTTGTATGTCTGTCCACAGCAGACCCTTCCCCGCCCCTAGTTTAATAACTTTTGCAACAGATATATAAGTCTATTATCAAGAATTGTGTTGATGATCTCAAAAAACCCTACAGAACGACAAGGGGTATGAATTATACTCCTCTACGTCCACCAACTGATGTCTTGTTATTAATCATAGACTCAGTTATGCACGATAACAATTGACAAGTACATGAGGACTTGACAATCGCGAAAACTCTCCCCAAAAATTCATAGTTTGACAGTCCACGTAGCATCCTGTCCGCGTGTTAAGTCTTGTCGAATGTATTTGGGATATGTAAGACGATTGCTTACGCCTCTTTTCACATATGAACAGCTTCTAACTGCACTGAGTAATTATGACCCATAGATTTTTTTTATTTTGTTTAAGGCTTAATATAAAATTTGGTAAGAGTAGATAGTTCTGCTGTACGCAAAATAGCTTTAGAAAATATTTTCAAATATTTTCCTGTGATCTTGACGATGTCGTAATTGCTAAGTACCATAAAGATTAGTTGGAGAAAATGCACGACCTTCGTCTCACCATTGGCTCACATTCAGAGGTCAAGTGATCAGACATGCCCTTTGCTCTAGATTCTGATGTCATCGTGTCGGTTGAAACGACAGTCGACCGTTGGTTATACACACAGTGGTTGAATGACAAAAAAAAAAGCCGCTCATTATTTTGAGATTCTTACGTAATAAAAATAAGTAGGCTATTTTAACCATTATACATTAATGGGTTGCATTTTTATTAACGTAACTGGGTACTATTTTTTTTTAAGTACTTGGGCTCTATTCTTTTTTTAACGTAATTGGTAACCTTTTTATGAACTACTTTTTTTTTATTATATAATGCAGTTGGTTTCTAATTTATTTATGAATGAAATTAGGTCCCATTAAATTTTTTTAATGAAATTTAGTCCCACTTTTAATCTATATTGCTGATCTGGTCTTCTTTAGTTTTTAGATTTCTAGTAATACTCTTAAATTATTTAGAAATAACATGCAATATTTTCATTCGTTTTTCGTTAGTTTTGAAATGTATCGTCATTTTGATTGTTACTTTATATCCCAACTATTTTAACTGGTCTTCAGCTGTTAAATAAAACTTCTGCATATTCAAGGAAATAAAATAAAAAGATATTTTGAAACTGATTTGAATTTGCATGCCATAATTTTTGTTGTAGCATATCTATTGTTGAAACTTGAATAAAGCATGGAATAATAATAATACAACACAAAATGTACTTAAACAAAATGTATTGACACAAGAACGTGTACACAATATTTACAGATAGTTTGGTATATTCTTGGGAAGACCGTTCCTGTAGAATGGGTTGACTTAGTCGCAGTCGGGCAGAGTCTCTGGATTGGATCTCATCTTCCTCCCCCGTCTTCCCGGTACCAACCATATTTATATGGTCGGTACTCCACTATGTAAATTAGGTGGATCGTACCACAACACCTATGGATGATAATAATAGGTATGTCCCCATTCACATAAATACAGTAGTAAATACTGTATGTTGGTCTGCAGTCGGAGATTCGTCTCCAGCCGTGCTGGTCAAACTCTCTGCTTCCTGGCAGAGAGGGTCCCCACACGCGGCTATGTCGAAGGGCAGAGTCTCGTATCGAGAAAAAGCTACCCGACCCCGTTTTATACGAAGTCAACGTAGAATTTTTGGCCGAGCCTATGGGTTCGCATACCCCACATTAAATTCGGCCTTGTGCCACGTCTGACCTCGTGGAGCGGTTGGTAGATATTCTACAGTCGGAGATTCGTCTCTATCTGTGCTGGTCAAACTCTCTGCTTCCGGGCAGAGAAGATCCCCAGACGATGCTATGTCGAAGGGTAGAATCTTGTCTTGAGGAAACAACTACCTGGCCCAGTTTTATACGGGGTCTATGGGGAATTTTTGGCCGAGGCTACGGGCTCGGATACTTCACATTAAATTCGGCATTGTGCCGCATCTGACCGCGTGGGGCGATTGGTAGATGTCCTAAAGTTTGAGATTTATTGTAGCATATACTTGATTCACTTCTAGCAGTTAACTACATCTTCTGCTCGCCGCTGGCGAATCTTATATGTGTTGTTCTTGTCCTAAGTATTATCGTTCATTATCAACCTTCGTTTGATTATTCTATTCAGTAACCTTCCCTAGGTAACAACAACTTTAGAATTCAGTGTTCACAAAGTTTGTTATACTATTTTTTTTTAAGCGTTTCACCCCAAGCAAGGCGGGAAGCCACTAGGACGCAAGGGGTTACAGAAAATTTGGAGCAAGATCAGATAGGAGTGATAGAAGAAAGGATGAGGAGAAGGGTAGTGGATAGATCAAGGTAACTGGAGATGTCGATTGACATTACATTTGAATAGCTGGAGATTATAGCTCTCAGGGAAACTGGAATAGGGAAGGGAGTTCCACAGGCGAGAGGTGCGAGACATGAAGCTATTGGAGTAGAAGAGACGGCTACATTTAGGACTTTCGACAGTGATGGGGTGAGAGCACAATGCCAGCCTCGTAGGGGGCTTGAACTCATGAAGTCTGGGAACCAGCGAATGCAGCTCCTCGGAGCAATTGCCATGAAAGTATTTGTAAAACAGACAGAGAGAGGCGACGGCGCGTCTGTGAGAAAGTGACTGTAGACGAGATTCCAGAGCAGGGCCAATTATATTGCATACCCACCTCTGGAGACTATCAAGAATACTAGGCTTTTTAATGTTATTCGATATTGAAGGCGGAGAACTCGTGTTAAGTTGATGCTATTTGATCGTGCTACATCGAAGGAAAGAATATTGCTATTGAGAATCGTGCTGTAGATTTGAGAAGTACTTTACTTAATCACTTATGGTAGACGCCTGTTATCATTGGGTTATAAAAATTATGATAGCATCATGCTACGTCAGGCATGGCTATCATGGCTCCTGATCTTGATTAGATGTATTAAGATAGACATAATTTATCTTTTGTCAATTAAGATGGGAAACAGTCGTTTTTCTCCCATTGTTCTTTGTTTTAGTGTTCAAAGTTAGATTTCCCAATATGAGCGAAACAACAAAAATTAATGAGAAATTCAGTCATTGTTATTTGTTACAACTAGCAGCATGGCCCGGCGTTGCCTGTGCTTGATTCAAAAATCGTACGACTCATACAGCAATCGCTATCACATGACTTAAAATATTTTTGCCCTTCCTTGCCTTTAAAGGAGTGCCATTTTCCGTGCTGATGTTGCTACATGCCTTACTTCTTGCCTATCTCACACTGTGAATTTTTTCTAAGCTCTATACTAAACATTAAATCTGTTATGAAAAAAGAACTAAACAAAATGAACACAAAACGATCAGCTTTAAAAAAAAAGGACTCGTAACTGGAAAAACCGAATGAAAAAAGAATGTTAACAAATACTATTTCACACCCAAACCAGTTCTGTTGAATCAGAATCAACGTTGAGTTTAAGCAAGCGAATGAGCCAATTGGAGTAAAGTGCCATGCAGATTTAAATTTTTCCCATTTGTGAAGAATGCAGCTATCGATTTTTTTTTTTTTTTTTTTGCATGCTAGCATGCTAGTTAACATTCGTGTCAGTCAGCTGTTAGTTCTCACGTTGACCAGTAGAATCTTCCTGCGTATTCGTGGCAGCCAGCTATAGGCTCTCACTCTGACCAGTACAAAATGGCCGCAAACTACATGAAAACTGCCGTAGAAGCATGAAAAAATCTATTATTTCCACAATCGATGGGAGTTGGGAAATGCAAAGTCGGTCTTGGCCTTCCCACTAACTTGGAGCATGTGCATGTAAACTTTGGTGCAAATCCGTCGAAAGTTGCGGCCGTGCATTCGTCACACACACACACACACACACACACACACACACACACACACACACACACACACATCCTGCCTTTTATAGAGAGAGATTCAGAGAGTGTTCTCATCCTTGGTTTTTCTCTCACTCTTCTTACTTTGTTCCTTGCTGTATTGTTGATAGTCTAATAGTCGTGGTAACACAAAAATTCAATATAAAAGTATTTCTACGAGTTCTACTGTTTTTTGCTCTCTCTTACACTCTTTGATTCTCTCCCTCATACTTTCTGTGTTTCTTTCTCTCATACTTTCTTTGTTGCACTCACTTACGCTTTCTTTGTTACTCTCTCCATCTCTCTCTCTCTCTCTCACACACACACCCTCTCTTTGTTCCTCTCTCTAGCGCATACACACTTTGTTTCTCTCTCTCACACACTCTCTCTTTGTTTCTCTCTCTAGCGCATACACTCTTTGTTTCTCTCTCTCACACACTCTCTCTTTGTTTCTCTCTCTAGCGCATACACACTTTGTTTCTCTCTCTCACACTCTCTCTTTGTTTCTCTCTCTGCTTACACACTGTTTCTCTCTCTCACACACACTCTCTTTTCTCTCTCTCTAGCGTTTCTCTCTCTCACACACTCTCTCTTTGTTTCTCTCTCTAGCATACACACTCTCTCTCCACACTCTCTCTCTTTGTTTCTCTCTCTCTAGCCCATACACACTGTTTCTCTCTCACACATTCTCTCTTTCTTTCTCTCTCTAGCGCATACACTCTTTGTTTCTCTCTCTCACACTCTCTCTTTGTTTCTCTCTCTAGCGCATACACACTTTGTTTCTCTCTCTCTAGCTCTCTTTTTGTTTCTCTCTCTAGCGCCCTTACACACCTGTTTCTCTCTCTCACACTCTCTCTTTCTTTCTCTCTCTAGCGCATACACACTTTGTTTCTCTCTCACACATTCTCTCTCTCTTTGTTTCTCTCTCTGGCGCATACACTGTTTCTCTCTCTCCACTCTCTCTTTCTTTCTCTCTCTCTCATACCTCTTTGTTTCTCTCTCTCCCTCTTTCTTTCTTTTCTCTCTCTAAGCCTTACTTTGTTTCTCTCTCTACACTCTCTTTGTTTCTCTCTCTCTCTCTCACTCTCTCTCTCTTTGTTTCTCTCTCTAGCGCATACACTCTTTGTTTCTCTCTCTCCACACACTCTCTCTTTGTTTCTCTCTCTAGCTAGTTTCGCTCTCTCCACTTTCTCTCTCCTTGCTTTGTTTCTCTCTCTCACACTCTCTCTTTGTTTTCTCTCTCTCACATATATATCTTTGTTTCTCTCTCTATATACACACTTTGTTTCTCTCTCTAGGATTGGTTCTATGTTTCTCTCTCTCTTGTCTTTCTCTCTCTCCCCCACACTCTCAAGTTCTCTCTCTCTCTTTGTTTCTCTCTCTTTAAAATCTCTTCTCTCTCTCACACACTCTCTCTTTGTTTCTCTCTCTATAATTTTTACAATTTTTTCTCTCTCTCACCCTCTCTCTCTTTCTCTCTCTCTCACATACACACACTTTGTTTCTCTTTCTTTCTCTCTTTTCTTTCTCTCTCTAGCACACTTTGTTTCTCTCTCTCCATCTCTTGTTTCTCTCTCTACTTAAAATACACACTTGTTTCTCTCTCTCCCACTCTCTCTTTGTTTCTCTGTCTCTAGCGCTCTCTCTCACACCTCTCTTTTCCCCTCTCTCTCTAGCACATACTTACACACTGTTTCTCTCTCTCCACTCTCTCTTTTTTTTCTCTCTCTAGCGCAAAAACACTGTTTCTCTCTCTCCTCTCTCTTTTCTTTCTCTCTCTAGCGCATACACTTTTGTTTCTCTCTCACACACTCTCTCTTTGTTTCTCTCTCTAGCGCATACACTCTTTGTTTCTCTCTCTCTCATACTCTCTCTCTTTTCTCTCTCGCATACACACTGTTTCTCTCTCTCTCACTGTTCTCTCTCTCTCTCTCTACCTGTTCTCTTTCTCTTTCTCTCTCTTGTTTTCTCATACACTCTTTTGTTTCTCTCTCTCACACACTCTCTCTTTGTTTCTCTCTCTAGCATACACACTGTTTCTCTCTCACACACTCTCTTTTTTCTCTCTCTCTAGCGCATACACACTGTTTCTCTCTCTCTCACACACTCTCTTTGTTTCTCTCTCTTTGGATGCATACACTTTGTTTCTCTCTCACACCTCTCTCTTTTTTCTCTCTCTCTAGCGCATACACACTTTGTTTCTCTCTCACCCACTCTCTCTTTGTTTCTCTCTCTCAGCGCATACTCTTTTGTTTCTCTCTCTCTCACACTCTCTTTTCTTTCTCTCTCTCAGCGCATACACACTTTGTTTCTCTCTCTCTCACACACTCTCTCTTTTGTTTCTCTCTCTAGCGCATACACACTTTGTTTCTCTCTCTCTCACACACTCTCTCTTTTTTCTCTCTCTCTAGCGCATACACTTTTTGTTTCTCTCTCACACTCTCTCTTTGTTCTCTCTCTAGCGCATACACACTTTTTTCTCTCTCTCCCCTCTCTCTCTTTTTTCTCTCTCTAGCGCATACTCTCTTTTTTCTCTCTCCCACACTCTCTCTTTTGTTTCTCTCTCTATCCCCTTACACACTTTGTTTCTCTCTCTCACACTCTCTCTCTTTCTTTCTCTCTCTAGCCCCACACTGTTTTTCTCTCTCTCACACACTCTCTTTCTTTCTCTCTCTAGCGCATACACTCTTTGTTTCTCTCTCTCACACTCTCTCTTTTGTTTCTCTCTCTAGCGCAATCACCCTTTCTCTCTCTCCCACTCTCTTTTTTCTCTCTCTCTAGCGCATACACACTTTTGTTTCTCTCTCTCACACTGTTTTTTGTTTCTCTCTCTAGCGCATTCACACTTTTTTCTCTCTCACACTCTCTCTCTTTCTCTCTCTTACACACTACTCTCTCTCTTTCTCTCTCTTTGTTTCTCTCTCTCTTTGTTTCTCTCTCTCTACTTCTTTCTTTCTCTTCTTTGTTTCTCTCTCTCTCTCACTCTCTCTTTCTTTCACTCTCTCTAGCTTTCATACCACTGTTTCTCTCTCTCACACCTCTCTCTTTTTTTTCTCTCTCTAGCGCATACACACTTTGTTTCTCTCTCTCCCACTCTCTCTTTCTTTCTCTCTCTTAGCACACACTGTTTCTCTCTCTCCCACACCCTCTCTCTTTGTTTCTCTCTCTCTAAAATCTCTCACTTTGTTTCTCTCTCTCACACACTCTCTTTCTTTCTCTCTCTAGCTCTCTCTCCCTCTCTTTCTCTCTCTCTCTCTAGCTCTCTCTTTGTTTCTCTCTCTAGCACATACTCTCTTTGTTTCTCTCTCTCTCACACACTTTCTCTCTTTCTCTTTCTCTCTCTCTAGCGCATACACACTGTTTCTCTCTCTCCACACTCTCTCTTTCTTTCTCTCTCTAGCACATACACTCTTTGTTTCTCTCTCTCACACTCTCTCTTTGTTTCTCTCTCTCTAGCTCCCATTACACTTTGTTCTCTCTCTCTCACACTCTCTTTTGTTTTCTCTCTTTGTTATACTCTCTCTTTCTCTCTCACTTCTTTTTTCTCTCTCTCTCATACACACTCTCTCTCTTTCTTTCTCTCTCTCTCCCATCTTTTGTTTCTCTCTCTCTCCACTCTCTCTTTTTAATTCTCTCTATACTGAGCTTTTCTCTCTCTCTCTCACACTCTCTCTTTGTTTCTCTCTCATACACACTTTGTTTCTCTCTCTTGTTTCTCTCTCTCTCTCTCTCTCTCTTTCTCTCTCTATCACACATTCTTCTTTCTCTCTCTCTCTTTTGTTTTCTCTCTCTCACACACTCTCTCTCTTGTGTTTCTCTCTCTAGCGCATACACACCTTGTTTCTCTCTCTCTCACACACTCTTCTTTGTTTCTCTCTCTAGCGCATACCTCTTTTTTTCTCTCTCTCACACTTTCTCTCTTTCTTTTCTCTCTCTCTCTCCTCACTCTTTCTTTTTCTCTCTCTCTCTCTCTTTGTTTTCTCTCTTTTCTCCACATTCTTTCTTTCTCTCTCTCACACTCTTTTGTTTCTCTCTCTCTCTCACACTTTGTTTCTCTCTCTTTCTCTCTTTGTTTCTCTCTCTCTCAATACACACTTTGTCTCTCTCTCTCACACTCTCTCTTTGTTTCTCTCTCTCTCACACACTCTTTCTCTCTCTCTTTCTCTTTTTTTCTCTCTCTCTAGCTACACTCTTTGTTTTCTCTCTCTCACACTCTCTCTCTTTGTTTCTCTCTCTAGCGCATCTTTCTTTGTTTCTCTCTCTCACACTCTCTTTCTTTCTTTCTCTCTTGCTCTCTGCATCACACTGTTTCTCTCTCTCTCACACTCTCTCTTTTTTTTCTCTCTCTAGCGCATACACACTGTTTCTCTCTCTCTCACACTCTCTCTTTTTTCTTTCTCTCTTTCCTACACACTGTTTTCTCTCTCACACAATTCTTTCTTTTCTTTTTCTCTCTCTCTAACTTCTCTCTCTTTCTTTCTTTCTCTCTCTAGCACACTCTCTCTTTGTTTCTCTCTGTTTCTCTCTCTCCACACACTCTCTCTTTTGTTTCTCTCTCTATACTATCTTTGTTTCTTTCTCTCTCTCCACACTCTTTCTTTCTTTTCTAGCTCTCTCTCTCTCACACACTCTCTCTTTGTTTCTCTCTCTAGCATACACACTCTTTCTTTCTCTCACACACTCTCTTTGTTTCTCTCTCTAGCTTTACACTGTTTCTCTCTCTCTCACACTCTCTTTTTCTCTCTCTCTAGCGCATACCCTTTTGTTTCTCTCTCTCTCTCTCTTTGTTTCTCTCTCTAGCGCTAGGCATACATGTTTGTTCTCTCTCTCTCTTTCTCTCTCTTTGTTTCTCTCTCTAGCGCACACACTTTGTTTCTCTTCTTTCACTCTCTCTCAATTCTCTTTTCTTTGTTTCTCTCTCTCACACTGTTTTCTTTTCTCTCTCTCTCACACATCTCTCTTTCTTTCTCTCTTTCTTTCTTTTCCACTTTTTCTCTTTCTCTCTCTTCTTTGTTTCTCTTTCTAGCACTCTCTTTGTTTCTCTCTCTTTTTTTCTCTCTTTGTTTCTCTCTCTAGCTAGTTGTTGCACTTTCTCTCTCTCACCCTCTCTCTCTTTTTTCTCTCTCTCTAGCCTATTACTGTTTCTCTCTCTCACCTCTCTTTTGTTTCTCTTCTCATACTTTGTTTCTCTCTCTCCCTCTCTTTGTTTCTCTCTCTAGCGCATTGTTTCTCTCTCTCTCTCACACACTCTCTCTTTCTTTCTCTCTCTAGCTCATCACTGTTTCTCTCTCTCACACACTCTTTTTTTCTCTCTCTAGCACTGCCTCTTGGTTTCTCTCTCTCTCTCTCTTTGCGCATACACACTTTGTTTCTCTCTCTCCACACTCTCTCTCTCTCTTGGACTCTCTCTCACACTCTTATTTTTTTCTCTCTCTTTTCTTTCTTTCTCTCTTTCTTTCTTTTTCTCTCTCTCACACACTCTCTTTTTTTTCTCTCTTTTTAGCTACTCACACTTGTTTCTCTCTCTCCTCTCTCTCTTTGTTTCTCTCTCTAGCGCATACACTTTTGTTTCTCTCTCACACACTCTCTTTTTGTTTCTCTCTCTGCGCATTTACACTCTTTTCCTTTCTCTCAATACACTCTCTCTTTTTTCTTTCTCTCTCACACTTGTTTTTCTCTCTCTTCTCTTTCTTTCTCTCTCTAGCGCATACACTTTTCTCTCTCTCTCACACACTCTCTCTTTTCTTCTCTCTCTAGCGCATACACTTTGTTTCTCTCTCTCTCACTCACTCTCTCTTTGTTTCTCTCTCTCTAGCGCTCTACACTCTTTTGTTTCTCTCTCACACACCTCTCTCTTTGTTTCTCTCTCTAGCCTTACACACTTTGTTTCTCTCTCTCACACTCTCTCTCTTTTGTTTTTCTTTCATCTCTTTTCTCTCTCTTTCTCTCTCTTTCTCTCTCTCACACTCTTTCTTTCTCTCTCTATCACACTCTCTTTGTTTCTCTCTCTCATACACACTCTCTCTCTCTCTCTCTTTCTCTCTCTTCATACACACTTTGTTTCTCTCTCTCTCTTTGTTTCTCTTTCTTTCTCTCTCTGCTCTCTCTCACACACTCTTTTTTGTTTCTCTCTCTCTCCCCACTCTTTCTCTCTCTCTTTGTTTCTCTCTTCTCTCTCCTCTCTCTGTTTGTTCTCTCTCTCTCACTCTCTCTTTGTTTCTCTCTCTCTCATACACTCTTTGTTTCTCTCTCTCTCACACTCTCTCTCTTTCTTTCTCTCTCTCTCATACACACTTTGTTTCTCTCTCTCCTCACCTCTCTCTTTCTCTCTCTCTTTTTGTTTCTCTCTCTCTTCCACACACTCTTTTTGTTTCTCTCTCTCTTTTCTTACCCTTTTCTTTCTCTCTCTTTGTTTCTCTCTCTTCCTCTTTTCTTTCTCTCTCTAGCATACTCTCTTTGTTTCTCTCTCTCTCACACTCTCTTTCTTTCTCTCTCTCTCTAGCGCATACACTCTTTGTTTCTCTCTCTCACACACTCTCTCTTTGTTTCTCTCTCTAGCGCATACACACTGTTTCTCTCTCTCACACACTCTCTCTTTGTTTCTCTCTCTAGCGCATACACTTTTTTTCTCTCTCTCCCTCTCTTTTGTTTCTTTCTCTCTCATACACACTTTGTTTCTCTCTCTCTCACCTCTCTCTTTGTTTCTCTCTCTTTTCTTACACTTTGTTTCTCTCTCTCTCTCACACTCTCTCTTTTCTTTCTCTCTCTCACACTGTTTCTCTCTCTCTCTCTCTTTGTTTCTCTCTCTAGCGCATCACTCTTTTGTTTCTCTCTCTCTCTCTCTTTGTTTCTCTCTCTAGCGCATACACTCTTGTTTCTCTCTCACACACTCTCTTTGTTTTTCTCTCTCTCTACACTCTTTGTTTCTCTCTCTCCCACACTTTTTGTTTCTCTCTCTCACACACTCTTTGTCTCTTTCTTTCTCTCTCTCTTTGTTTCTCTCTCTATGCAAACACTTTGTTTCTCTCTCTCACACACTCTCTCTTTCTTTCTCTCTCTAGCGCATACACACTTTGTTTCTCTCTCTCACACACTCTCTCTCTTTGTTTCTCTCTCTAGCGCATACACACTGTTTCTCTCTCTCACACACTCTCTCTTTCTTTCTCTCTCTAGCGCATACACTCTTTGTTTCTCTCTCTCACACACTCTCTCTTTGTTTCTCTCTCTAGCGCATACACACTTTGTTTCTCTCTCTCACACACTCTCTCTCTTTGTTTCTCTCTCTAGCGCATACACACTGTTTCTCTCTCTCACACACTCTCTCTTTCTTTCTCTCTCTAGCGCATACACACTGTTTCTCTCTCTCACACACTCTCTCTTTGTTCTCTCTCTACACACTCTCTCTCTCTCACACTCTTTTCTCTCTCTAGCGCATTTTCACTTTGTTTCTCTCTCTCTCACACTCTCTCTTTGTTTCTCTCTCTAGCGCATACACACTTTTTCTCTCTCTCTCACACACTTTTGTTTCTCTCTAGCATGCACACACTTTTTTTTCTCTCTCTCACACTCTCTCTCTCTCTCTAGCGCATACACACTGTTTCTCTCTCTCTCTCTTTGTTTCTCTCTCTAGCGCATACACACTGTTTCTCTCTCTCTCACACACTCTCTTTTGTTTCTCTCTAGCATACACACTTTTTCTCTCTCTCACACACTCTCTTTTTTTTCTCTCTAGCGCATACACACTTTGTTTCTCTCTCTCACACACTCTCTCTTTGTTTCTCTCTCTCTAGCTCTACACTTTCTCTCTCTCTCACACACTCTCTTTTGTTTCTCTCTCTAGCGCATACACTTTTGTTTCTCTCTCCACACTCTCTTTGTTTCTCTCTCTCTCACATCTCTCTCTTTCTCTCTCTCTAGCACACACTCTCTCTTTTTTTTTCTCTTTGTTTTGTTTCTCTCTCTCACACACTCTCTCTTTGTTTCTCTCTCTAGCGCATACACACTGTTTCTCTCTCTCACACACTCTCTCTTTGTTTCTCTCTCTAGCGCATACACACTGTTTCTCTCTCTCACACACTCTCTCTTTGTTTCTCTCTCTAGCGCATACACACTTTTTTCTCTCTCTCACACACTCTCTCTCTTTGTTTCTCTCTCTAGCGCATACACACTTTGTTTCTCTCTCTCACACACTCTCTCTTTGTTTCTCTCTCTAGCGCATACACTCTTTGTTTCTCTCTCTCACACACTCTCTCTTTGTTTCTCTCTCTCTCTTGTTTCTCGCATACACACTTTGTTTCTCTCTCTCACACACTCTCTCTTTGTTTCTCTCTCTCTAGCGCATACTCTCTCTTTTGTTTCTCTCTCTCTCCACACATACTCTCTTTGTTTCTCTCTCTCTAGCGCATACACACTGTTTCTCTCTCTCACACACTCTCTCTTTGTTTCTCTCTCTAGCATACACACTTTTCTCTCTCTCTCTCACACTCTCTCTTTGTTTCTCTCTCTAGCGCATACACACTGTTTTTTCTCTCTCTCTCTCTCTTTGTTTCTCTCTCTCTAGCGCATACACACTTTGTTTCTCTCTCTCACTCTCTCGCATACACCTTTGCCACTCTCTCTTTTGTTTCTCTCTCTAGCGCATACACACTGTTTCTCTCTCTCTCTCTACACACTCTCTTTCTTTCTCTCTCTACACGCATCTCTTTGTTTCTCTCTCTCTTTCTCTCTCTCACACTCTCTCTTTTTTGTTTCTCTCTCTAAGCACACTGTTTCTCTCTCTCCACACTGTTTCTCTCTCTCACACACACTGTTTGTTTCTCTCTCTTCTTTCTCTCTCTCTAGCGCATACACACTTTGTTTCTCTCTCTCACACTCTCTCTTTGTTTCTCTCTCTAGCATACACACTGTTTTCTCTCTCTCCCACTCTCTTTTGTTTCTCTCTCTCACACACTCTTTGTCTCTCTCTCACACACTCTCTCTTTGTTTCTCTCTAGCACACTGTTTCTCTCTCTCACACACTCTCTCTTTTCTTTCTCTCTCTAGCGCATACACACTGTTTCTCTCTCTCTCTTTCTCTCTCTCTCTCTTTGTTTCTCTCTCTCCTCTCTAGCGCTCACACACTCTCTTTGTTTCTCTCTCTAGCACACACTTTTCTCTCTCTTTCTCTTTCTTTCTCTCTCTAGCGCACATACACTTTGTTTCTCTCTCTCTCTCCCCTCTCTCTCTCTTTGTTTCTCTCTCTAGCGCATACACACTTTGTTTCTCTCTCTCACACACTCTCTCTCTTTCTTTCTCTCTAGCGATACACTCTTTTGTTTCTTTTCTCTCTCTAGCGCATACACACTTTGTTTCTCTCTCTCACACACTCTCTCTTTGTTTCTCTCTCTCACACACTCTCTTTTTGTTTCTCTCTCTAGCGCATACACACTTTGTTTCTGTCTCTCTCACACACACTCTTTGTTTCTCTCTCTAGCGCATACACACTCTGTTTCTCTCTCCCACACACACTCTTTGTTTCTCTCTCTCTCACACTCTCTCTTTGTTTCTCTCTCTCACACACTCTCTTTTTGTTTCTCTCTCTAGCGCATACACACTTTGTTTCATTCTCTCACACACTCTCTCTTTCGTTCTCTCTTTAGCTCACACACACTTTGTTTCTCTCTCTCACACACACAGTCTTTGTTTGTCTCTCGCTCTCTCACAATCTTTGTTTCTCTCTCTCATTCTCTTTCACACACTTTTTATTTCTCTATCTCTATCTCATACTATATTTTTCTCTCGCTCTCTCTCTCACGCACTCTTTGTTTTTTCTCTCTCTCTCACACACACACACACTTTGTTTCCCACTCTCTGTCTCTGTCTCATTTTATCTCTCTCGCTCGTTCGCTCTCTCGCTCGCGAACACACAGTCTTTGTCTCTCTGTCTCTGGCACTCTTTGTTTCTCTCTCTCTCTCACACACACACACACTATTTGTTTCTTTCTTTCTCACTCATTCTTTCTTTCTCTCTCACACACTCTTTCTTTCTCTCTAACTCTCTCTCTCATACACACACAAACTCTTTGTTTCTCTACTCTATTTTTCTCTACTCTTTTTTTCTCTTCTTTATTTCTATCCTTTCTTTCTCTCTCTCTCTCTATCTCTCTCTCTTTCTTTCTAAATATCTTATTTAACCTCTTCTTTTCTTCTTTGCTACTTGCTTTTTATAGTCTCTGAAGGCAAAGCAAGAAAATGCATTATCGAGATCATTTCGAAGAATTTATTGGCATAATCTCTGCAATCCTTCTTGGTTAATCTCTTTGGGGTTTTTTTTCTGTACGCTTTTTGATGCTACTCAAGTCATTTGCATCGAGAATGGATTGGAACTCAAATCCGACAAATGTGAAGCATCTGACGTAACCTTTGACTCTCCTTGAAGCAACTGACTTCATTCAAAATAATTTTCTCCTTGTGCATAAACACATCAACTTACTTTCCCCGTACTTAAACCTCTGCAAGTTCTCTTCTCAAGTATTCACATCTACATACACATATACTTATCTTCCATCAATCATATGTCCACTTCCTTCATTTTTTTCTTCGTACTTAACCTGGAATTTTTTTAATCGATTTTCAAAGGATAACTTGATTTGCATATTCTCAAATAGTAGGGATGACTATTGAATATATATATATATATATATATATATATATATATATATATATATATATATATATATATAGCATAATACTGATAAACAGTATAGTACTTGGAATTGCCTCAGGCACACTTGTAAATAAAATGGAACATTTACAGATCTGAAGTGGAAATAGGAAGGTACCAAGCAAACCAATAAAAATACTGAGAAATGTCAACCATTTTTTCTTCATTTTTAACTAGTGTTTACTTTCATCTTCACTTTTTCTTATCAAAACTTCACTCAGAGGGTCAATATACGACAGATCGACAGTGTAGGAAAGTCTGGTGATAAGATTCAAACTCTTTTTTTTTTATCTCAGGAAACTTTGTTTAGAATCTTCGCTGCTAAGCTTCGAAAACTTACATCTTTAGCGAAAGTCAAATCTAGCCTATAACTCCACACTACATTCTACAACCAGTCGCTCTCTCACAGACGTGCCGTCGCCTCTCTCTGTCTTTTTTTTTTTACAAATACTTTCATGGTAATTGCTCCGATGAGCGGCTTTCGCAGGTTCCCAGACTCCATGAATTCAAGCGCCCTACGAGGCTGGCATCCCGCTCTCACCCTTTCACTGTAGAAACTTTTAAATGTAGCCGTCTCTTCTACTCCAATAGCTTCATATCTCGCACCTCTCGCCTGTGGAACTCCCTACCCTGTTCCAGTTTCCCTGAGAGCTACAATCTCCAACTGTTCAAATGTAATGTCAATCGACATCTCCAGTTGCCTTGATCTACCCACTATCCTTCTCCTCATCCTTTCTTCTATCACTCCTATCTGATCTTGCTCCAAATTTTCTGTAACCCCTTGCCCGCTCGTGGCTTCCAGCCTTGCTTGGGATGAAATGCTTTAAAAAAATGCTTTAACAATATTTGAGCGGTTGGCTTTGATTGTTCTGTCAGGGTGTATTTTGTAGTCCCATAGAATTGTAACAGGTCCTATCTCCGTAACCGGGTCTGGGTGGTGTTCATACCAGTTTCTTTCAGTTTCCTTCCCGTAGAAGTTACAGATTTAAAATATGTTCTCACGCCAGTAATCCCTCATAGCTTCTAATAAAAATCAAGTATTATGACAATGTAAGCTACATCATTGTTAAGGTTAGCAAGAATATTAAAGATTACTAAAAAGCTGTTTTACTGCCACTTCATTTTCATTGATAGACACGAAGTAGCTCAGATCTGAAA